CCTCTCAAAAGCACAGCTGACAATGCAAATCAGAGCAAAAACCAAGCCAAGAAGTCAAAGGAACTGCCCGCAGAGTTCAGAAACAGGATTGTATCGAGGCACAGATCTGGGGAAGGCTACAAAAAATTTCTGCTGCATTGAAGGTTCCCAGGAGCACGGTGGCTTCCATAATTTTCAAATGGAAGAAGTTTGGCACAACTGGGACTCTTCCTAGAGCTGGCCAAACTGACCAAGAACCTGATGGTCACTCTAGTTGAGCTCCATGATCATATATGCAGATTGGAGAAACCTACAGAAGGACAAACATCACTGCAACACTCCACCGATCCGGGCTTTATGGCGTTGTGGCCAAACTCAATCCTCTCCTCAGTGAAGTCACATGAAAACACACTTGGAATTTGCAAAACAGCACCTAAAGGACCCTCAGACTGCAGGAACAAGATCATCTGGTCTGATGAACGTCTAAGAATTCCAAGCATCGTGTTTGAAGGAAACCAGCTCCGCTCATCACCTGTGGAGTACCATCCCAAAAGTAAAGTGTGCTGGTAGCAGCCTCATGCTGTTTTTCAGCGGCAGGGACTGGGAGACTGGTCAGAGTTTAGGGAAAGCTGAATGGAGCAAAGTACAGAGATCTCCTCAATGAAAACCTGTTCCACAGCACTCAGGACCTCGGACTGGGCTGAAGGTTCACCTTCCAACATGACAATGACCCTAAACGCATACAGCCAAGGCAACAGAGGAGTGGCTTAGGGACAATTCTGTGAATGTCCTAGAGTGGCCCAGTCAGAGCACTGACTTGAACCCTATCAAACATCTCTGGAGAGACCTGAAAATGGCTGTCCACTGACGGTCCCCATCTGGCCTGACTGAGCTTGAGAGGTTTTGCAAAGAAGAATGGCTGAAATTCCCCCAAACCTGGGGCCTCATTTACAAAGTGTGTAGGTTCTCGTCAGGGTCTGAGCAGACATGCACGCTTTTTCTTGTTCGAGTACTGCAGGTTTTTTGAAAATGTAAGATGTTCTAAATTTAAAGGATTTGGATGATTACTGGTGTTTTTTTTTTTTTTTACACATGTTAATGACATTTTAATTAGGAGTCGTTTACAAGCAGAGAGGTGAAACTTTTTAATTTGCGTGTACTGTAAATTCAAGATCGTTTGCGAATCATAGATTTCACATCTGAAAGAGACACGTACGTGTGTTTTCTGTACGTATGTTCATTTTATGAATCACACGTACGCATATTTGAGATATGATCGTAAGAAATTTTAGGATGGTTTCTGCACAACATTTTATAAATGAGGCCCCAGGTGTGCAAAGTTTGTTGTCGTACCCAAAAAGACTCAAGGCTGTAATTGCTGCCCAAGGTGCTTCAACTAAGTACTGACTGAAGGGTCTGAATACTTATGTAAATGTAATATTTCAGTTTTTTTTTTTCTTAATAAATTTACAGACATTTCTAAAATTCTGTTTTCATTTTGTCATTATGAGGTATGGAGTGCAGACTAATTAGAAAAAAAAATTTTTTACAATTGTAGTATCAGGCTGCAACATAACAAAATTGAAAAAAGTG